GGAACTGCAGGTAGCCGCTCTGCCTGCCCATAAGAAATCCAAGTGTCCACAGCCTCACCCTCACCAGGAACCCCAGGTAGCACTATGCCTGCCCATCAGAAATGCAGCTATCTGTCCAAACCCTGAGCCTCACCAGGAACCCCAGACAGTGCTGCGCCTGTCCATCAGAAAGACAACTGTTCTCAGCCTCAGACTTACCAGGAACCCCAGACAGCGCTGTGCCTGTCCATCAGAAATACAACTGTCCACAGCCTCAGCCTTACCAGGAACCCCAGGAAGCGCTGTGCATGCCCATCTCAAATGTCCACAGCCTCAGCCTCACCAGGAACCCCAGGTAGCACTATACCTGCCTATCTCAAATGTCCACAGCCTCAGCCTCACCAGAAACCCCAGGTAGCACTGCAGCTGCCCAGCTCAAATGTCCACAGCCTCGGCCTTACCAAAAACCCCAGGTAGCACTATGCCTGCCTATCTCAAATGTCCACAGCCTCAGCTTCACCAGGAACCACAGGTAACGCTGTGCCTGCCCATCAGAAATGCAACTGTCCAAAGCCTCACCCTCACCAGGAACTCCAAGCAGTGCTGTGCCTGCACATGGAAATGCAGTTGTCCACAGCCTCAGCCTCACCACCAACCCCAGGTACCGCTGTGCCTGCCCATCAGAAAAGCAGCTGTCCACAGCCTCAGCCTCACCAGGAACCCCAGGTAGCACTATGCCTACCCATCAGAAATGCAGCTCTCCGTCCAAACCCTGAGCCTTAGGGGGAACCCCAGCTAGCACGGTGCCTGCCCATCAGAAATACAACTGTCCACAGCCTCAGTCTCACCAGGGACCCCAGCTAGCCATCTAACTGTCCACAGCCTCAGCCTCACCAGAGACCCCAGGCAGCACTCAGCCTGCACATTAGAAATGCAGCTGTCCACAGCCTCAGCCTGACCGCCAACCCAGGTACCGCTGTGCTTGCCCAACAGAAAAGCAGCTGTCCACAGCCGCAGCCTCACCAGAAAACACAGGTATTGCTGTGCCTGCCCATCAGAAATACAACTGTCTACAGCCTCAGCCTTACGAGGAACCCCAGGAAGCACTGTGTCTACCCATCTCAAATGTCCACAGCCTCAGCCTCACCAGGAACCCCCAGGAAGCACTGTGCCTGCCCTTCAGATATGCAGCTGTCCACAGCCCAAGCCTCACCACCAACCCAGGTA